GATGATCAACTTAGTTCTTGGCTAATTTTTTACTGGATGTATCATTCACCTTTTTATCTTCGAATTGATATCTAGTAAATCGCATGGAAATACGTGCTCTCATTAGGGTAGGAAATGATTAAATTTCAAGCATGTACTTCAGTAGGGGTGGTAGTCTTCTATTGATTCCCTTAAACGGTTTGTGGTGGTGACATAATCTATTTGTGTTCACCACCATTACGTAACCATTCATCCATTGTCTGAGGTGGGTAACTGTCTCCACCGTACATAGATTGGACTCCACTGGACACGGCTTCTCACTGGAACTCCAGGGAATCCATCTTGAAGCTAGTCATTAGTGATCATGGGTCGGTTGTAGTTAGACATTAACACTGTTGGATGCCCGCTCAGTGGTCTAGAGGTTAGGCATTCACACGCAAGGCTGAAGGTCCTGGGATGGAGTTTCACGTACGGGATCGCGGATGTGCATTGTTCGGGTGTCTCATACTAGGACCAAACGGCCGTGCAGTGCTTCAAGGTCTTCAACAGTGGTCTAACTTAGATTGACTCGTGAATTCGACTGTTTAAACGCATTTCGCTAGAAGTTGCATGAGTCAAACAAAATTTTATGATTATCAGTAAATCATAAATTATTAAACTTTTCGTTCAATACTTCAGAAATTATATTACGTTTGTAAAAGAAATTAATTCTAAGCGAAATCAATAAAGTGAATAATTTGGAAGGATAGAATTATCAAGAAATACAGCGACAATATTAGTTAAACAGTTCAATAACCTATGCAAAAATGGATAGTGACTAGCAGTGGGATCCAGGACAAAGCGCGTCTCGTCCTATTTGGGACTCGTCAGCTGGATGTACCTGCATCCTTCAGATGATGTCCACTGTGGGGCACGAACCCAGTACCATTCGCTTCAAACCCCATCGCGTTATTCACTTAGCTACTGAATCCTGATAACCGCTTGTTTTACTTGAATCTTATAATGCTTGTGACTTAATGCAATATCGAGGCAATACACACAGTATACATATATACCAATAAGAGACTGACCAATTGCAGTCCTAAATAACAATGAGAAGATTCAAGTAAACTATACCAAGTGAATTTAAACTTCTCCTCATTACACAAGTAAATGGCTATCAGGACTTAGTAATTAAGTGGATAATGCGATAGTGTATGAAGCGAACAGTACTGGATTCGAGTTCCGAAGTGAACATCAACTGTAGGATGTAGGGTACATCCAGTTGACGAGTCCCAAATAGGACGAAACGCGTATCGTGTATCCTACTGCTGTCTACTATCCATCTTTGCTTATAATATTTGTGATCAGGCAATATCGAAGCAATATGCATATATATCAACAAGAGACTGATCAATTGCAGTCCTAAAGACATCAATGGGAAGATACAACACCAGGTGAATTGATTAGTTTAGTTGTAATTTTACACTTCATATTGGTAATAGTAATAATAATCCATATAGTTATTTAGATAGATAATAATTTTAATGACAAAAAACTAAGAATTATGTATTTTATCGGTAATACAATTGATTTATTTTCATTCTTAATCGACTAACTTGTACTTTGATGTTATTACACTAAGCGAACTTAATTGGCTAATGTATATTATCGTTACGTTTTTATTTAGAATAAGAGTAACTATAGGCGCGAAAATAATGATTAATCAAATTCTCAAAATTGTTCACAGTTTATACATATGTGCCACACAAGTCATTTGATACTACTCAAGTACCAAGTCCGAAGAAGATGGTTTTCTTAGGAGGCCACACCTGGAGCTTTCGATCTAAAAGTTTGATCCACAAGATAGTAGAAAAACGTAAGTAGATGTAGTCTCATGGTAACTGATGACCAGAGATAGGTTCATATGTCATTTGGTTAAAGCACTGGGCATTCGCTTTTCATCCTTTCAATTTCGTAAACAACATTAATGTCGCGAGAAATCAGTAAGTAGTACTTCTATGCGTGAGCATTTCGAGTGGAAGAGTGGTCTCTCTCCACCTTTCGCCGTACCAGTGCATTTGGGGACACTTTGAATTGTGATTAATCTATACTTGGGAAATTATAATTAAAAAAACGTTTTATCACATTCATAGAAGTTTATTAATCAAGCTCCAAATATAGCATACAGTTGTGACAACACAAGATAAAAAATCTGGTTGACAATAATTTGAATTTGATACATTTGTCACTGATCCTACACCTTTGAACTTTGAAGATGTGTAGTGAATAGAACACGGGTGCTTGGTAAAATAGAAAAAACATACTATGATACCTAATTTGCAAAATGTTCAATAATTGTCTCGAACTTCATTGTTCTTGCATTTCCATACTAATTGATTTCTATTCCCGCTCTTCCTTTCCTGATCTTCCCCATCTTCTGCTGCCAGACATTACATTCCTGACTCGCATCATATACTACTTATATCAATATAAGTAGCACGCACCACGTGTACATTGTTTATCAGTTCTAGACTGTTAGCTATCCAATGCCATCATATTTTCATTGATTATGTTTAGATAAAGTCAATCTATCATATGAATTGTTTTCAGTTAATTAATAGAATCACGGAAAGATTGATAAGAGCATAAAGATAAGAAATTTCAATAATAATAAGAACAATGTAATAGATACTTACTTACGTACGCCTGTTACTCCTCGTGAAGGAACATAGGCCGCTCACCAGCATTCTCCATCCAACCCTGTCCTGGACAATCCTTTCGAGCTCCTTCCAGTTGTTATTCATCCTTTCCATATCTGCTTTTATTTCTCGACGTAATGTGTTCTTTGGCCTTCCACTTTTCCGCTTACCTTCAGGATTCCAAATTAGTACTTGTCTTGTGATGCAGTTTTGTGATTAACGTAATGTATGTTCTATCCATTTCCATCGTCTTTTCCTAATTTCCTCTTCATCTAGGAGCTGGTTTGTTCTCTCCCACACAAGGCTGTTGCCGATGGTATCCGGCCAATGAATGTTGAGTATCTTGCGTAGACAGCCATTTATAAATACTTGTATCTTCTTGATGATGGTTGTTGTAGTTCTTCAAGTTTCAGCTCTGTACAGTAGAACTGCGTTGACATTCACATTGAAGATTCTGACTTTAATATTGGTTGAAAATTGTTTTGAGTTCCATATGTAATAGATAGTGCAAGTATAACTTCAGAAATTAAATAGTTCAAAAGTGTAAATTACTTGTATCTTCCCGTTGATATTTAGAACTGCAATTGATCAGTCTCTCGTTGGCATATGTGCATCTTGTGCGGACTGCCTCAATATTGCCTGAAGACACAAGATTTATGAACAAAGATGAATAATGGCTAGCAGTGGGATCCAGGACGCGTATTTCGTTTTATTTGGGACTCGTCAACTGGATGTACCTGCATCTCAGAGTTGATGTTCACCCTGGGACTCAGTAGCTATGTGGATAACGCGACGGGGTTTGAAGCGAACGGTACTGCGTTCGAATGTTGAAGTGAACATCAACTCAGATGTAAGTGCATCCAGTTGACGAGTCCCAAATAAGACGAAACGCGCATCCTTGATTCTACTGCTAGCCACTATCTATCTTTGCTTATTCAGATAAATTGTAAGAAAGAGGACAGCTCCAGTGTATAAAAAGTAATACAAAATATAATTCAAATTATTGATAATTATGTCTTGTTTATTCCATAATTATTTCAAAACATATTGATACCATATCTACTACCAACAAACAAATGAAAAATGTGATATTACTGTAAGACCGAAGGTTCTGCGTTCAAATTTCGCGTTCATGATCTTGGATGTGCACTGTTGAGGAGTCTCGTACTAAGACGAAACGACTGTCCAATGATTCCAGGTTTTCCATGGTAGTCCAACTTTAATCGACTCATCAATTCAACTCTTAGAAATTTTCACTTAGTCTCATAATTGGAGTATTGTTTGAATAAACTATCTGTTACACATATTCAGAATAAAATTTAAAATGATTTACCAATATTGATAATAGAACTATCAGATACCGAATTCAAATGTTTCCCCATTAAAACTATTTGTAAATATATGCTTTGTACTCTTAGTCACATCTTTGAATTCCTACTTAATGTAACTTATTATTATAAGTATGAATACCAAGGTTTAAATTTGATATAGAGTAAGATAGAGAGTTAATAATACATAAATTTATATTAGATCTCAATGAGTAAAAAAATTGTATTTTTGACGTTTCGTCACTTAATGTAAGCTACTTCTTCAGAGTAAGTAAAAATTACCGACATTAAATTAATACAAGTTTAAATAGTGTTAATTTAAAGTTGTTTTTTTATTGAGATCATGAGTCGATTGATATTAGATCACTAGTTAAAACCTTGAAGTACTAGATGGTTATTTATTTATTCTGAGGAAGTAGCTTAAATTAAGTCACGAAATGTTAGAAATATAATCCTCCTACTCATCGGGATATAACTAAATTATATTTATTATTAACTTATTACTTTTGTCAGCTAAGTTTATTGTGGATGGTTTATTTATGTATTCAATTCTTCTTACTTTTCTTAGTATCTTTTATTCAGTTGTAAACTGTCACAACGCTTTACTGTTACTTTCGCTTTTTACCCCTCATGGAGGAGAATAGACTGCCCATCAGCATTCTCCACACAACTTTATCCTGAACAATCTTTCCCAGTTGATTCCAGTTGCTATTCATCCTTTTCATGTCTGTTTCCGATTCCCTACGCAGTGTGTTATTTGATCTTCCTCATTTCCGTTTTCTTCTATGATTCCAAGTTAGCACTTGCCCTTATGATACAGTTTGATGCTTTCTGTAATAATTGTCCTATCCACTTCCAACATCTTTACCTAATTTCCTCTTCATCTGGAACGTGGGTTGTTCTCTCCCACACTAGGTTGTTGCTGATGGTATCTTGTGTAGACAATAGTTTATAAATACTTGTACCTTTTTGATGTTATCAAATAACTGTTCACCTATTTTTTCTTTTATAGGTGTTAATAAACTATTGGATTGTGTTGAACAACGATCTACAGATTATGATTGTCCAATTTATTTTGTAAGAGATGATTATTTAGCTCGTAAGGTCAGTGCCAGTACTTCACTATATGTTTTTGTTCTTATGAATATTTATTATTTAGACTATCGTTCTATGTCGTTTGTCAAGTTGAAAATAATATATTATTGAGATCATTTGATAAGCCATCGATACTAATACTCGTACTACTATGGCAGGTTCTAAATCATCTTTGATGAGTTCTAAAGCTAATGAGTTGGTGTACTTATTGGATTCCGTTTAGCGCTTTGTGACGGACTAGGGGATTATAGTTTTCCCAATAACTTCTGTGTCATGAACCGATAACGTCTTAACTTCTACCATACACTTCAAGCGTTGGTGCAGTATAGGAGCACTTAATCATGTGCGTTAAATATGAACAAGCCATGAAAATGAGCACTGTAAAACACTAACCCACATTAAACTGTCAACTTTGTCATTCCGGAATACATTATCTCAGACCACTTGATTATTCGTACAGTGTTTACACCTGATGTAAGTAATCTCAATTAGACAACTACAATCGAACCCAAGTAGTTACATAACTTTCTTAACTGTGTGTGGTTTGGAATGAGGGTGGGTCCACTAACCCAGTTTAAGCACACAAATTGAATGATTTATGTGGTGCATATTTGTTTGGTGCCTCCTTGTAACAATGTTTATATGTTTGAATAGTAATAATAATAATAATAATAATAATAATAATAATAATTTTCGATAAAATCACTTCAGGTTGTCGAACCTGAAATCATACATTGAATACATTATTTGCACACCCTCCCTTAGTTGTAGCGTACGTTCTTCATGATTCGTCCAATCTTGCTGTTATTACGATTGCTTCCTACTTCCCTTCCTGTTTCGTTGATCTGACTTTCTGCTAACAGGTATTCCATTTTCAATTTCTGCTACATACTACTTATGTCTGTCCGCATAAAGAGCATGTATGCTGCTACCTTGAAGTTGTGGTCGGGCTTCCCTATCGTAGTGAACCAATCGAGCTATACTGGCTTGAACAATCGTTTCCAGTTCTACTGAAGTGTGGTAACAATAAAAGCAGCAAACCCAAGATCCAGGGGTGAAGTCGTACTGCTGACTCTGCAGAGGTGTGATGGCAGTAAGGTGTTTCCTTCAGGAAACCAGCATAACAGCGATGCTGCCTTCACTCAAGGAGAGGTGGGGTTAGAAAAGGTCAACCCTTAAATGCACACTCCGCCTTATCCCACGGATATCCGTCCCGGTGGTAAAGTCTGGACAATTACGGAGCTAACACGAAAATTACTCACAAAAAGGTCGTGTGTGACCGACCTCAAGCAGTTGTCCCTTGGGCATTGAGGTCACGCTCTCAGGCCACTAAGATCACCTCTAACCCTATTTCGTTTTCAGATACCTTTAGAAGAACTTTATGTTATAAAGCTTTAATACTGTCTGTAAGCAAATTTTTATGATAATTATGTTTATATTCGGTTAGTTCTGTTTTTCATTCTGCCTGTTTTTTCATTTTAAATAAAAAACTCCATTGTAGTATGCCGGTTTCCCTATACCAGCTGAATTGGAAAAATTATTACCAGAAATGCATAAATTATGCTCAGAAGAATTATTGCATGAATTTCTAGGCAAACAAAAGTAAGTCAATTCTTTTGTATTATTCAATTTTTGATTAAGATCATGAACCGATTAATGTTAGACCACTATTGAAAACCTGGAAGCACTGGACAGCCGTTTCGTTCTGTTGTAAGACTTAGCATTATACATCCACCATCCCGCTCGCAAGTTCAGTGGTTTGGAGGTTAAGCGTTTACGCTCGAGACCGAAGGCCTTGGGTTTGAACCCAGGGTCTTAAGTTCATGATCTCAATCTAAAACAATAATCTGGACAACCCCATACTGATATTCAATTTTTATTTGTTTAAATAATTATGTAGTTTCCTCTTTTCCCAGTCAAATTTGAAATGTCTTCAAATATAGTTTACCCAACTGTAAACTGGATAATGAGTTGTTCTAAAGAATAACCAATTTATTTTCATCTCATCACAATGACATAGGTGTATACACTCTTTTCTTTGTCTTCACTTAAATCATGAGATTGAAATTGCTTAATATCATTGTTTCTGTGAACTAATTTTTTCTTCCTGTATTACATCCCTATACACAATCTTTCTTTTATATATTACTATCATTGAATTAACTACTTCTATGAATTCGTTGTTCACCTTGTTGTACTAATTGAGTGAAGTTAGATGGTGGTTAGAGGTAGTCAATAGGAAACCGTGGACCCAGGTTAGCCACACTGCAACTTGGTCGATAGCATTCGATCTGCACTAAGAAGGACTTGACACACATGACGTTGATCACCACTCAGTGGTCAATCAATTGTGATTAATGAGTGAGGTGTAGCAACTTTAAACGTTGGATATATATGCCTGATCCTGCGTTGTAGCTGACTAACTGACTGACTATAAAGTAGAAAAAATGATATCAAATTATTCTAGAATGTACTTACAATGCAAAAGAATAAGATTTTGTTCATGATACATTGAGTTTATGACGAATACAAATGTTTGAATTGAATAGATAACAATAGTGAAGATATACATGGCACAAGTCCATGAAGTCACTGACAAGTGGACTGAGCCATGTTGGTAGGTGTAGACTACCCGGTTGGGATCCACGAAACGATAGCAACCGATGGTTAGAGACCCTGAATGACATGGCTCAAAATCCTTTGCAATGGCACAGGTGCATACATTCTTTATGTTCTGAATTCTTCATGTTTCTTCTTTTTTTCTTTCCAAATTTATTTTACTGGACTATACTGCTTGAATAACATCTTCAAAGCCTAATGCTTCCGATTACTGCTTATACTTTTACTACCTCTACCACTGTGGGATTTGAATCGACAGTTGTATCTGTGTGCTAATGTGGTGTGGCAACTCGAACTGATGTACGTACAATTTATATTAACAGCTTATAAACAAATTAATAAGGTTATAGACATAAGTCATCATATGAAGTGATTGTAATACCTTACACTTACCTTAACTTGAAATAGTCGTTATCATAAGTGTATATTAGGAAAAACCTAAGAGTGTATGAATATAGGCTTAAGATTACTGTGCAAACTTATCGCTTTTTAGACTAAGGCTTGTACATAGTAAAGTTGCATATCTCCTGGTAACTTCCTGGCTCAAAAAATGGTTGCCTTGTAATAGATATATTTATCCTTGCATTCTATTTCAATGTCACGACTATTGCTACTACTACTGTAGTGGACAAGAGCACGACTGGGAGCAATTGAATGTGTTTGAACACAGAATTAGTTAACATCTTATTAAAATCTGGGAGCCATACATAATAAATACTTCATTTGCAAAATACCAATTCATTGTCTCAAACTTGACTATTCTTTTTGCAAATATCAGTTCATTGTTCCTGCATTTTCATCTCAATTGCTTTCCTTCTCGATCTTCTATTGGAATACATTCTCTTTCTGACTATCGTTATATACTACTTATATTGTTATAAGTAACTCATACCCCACTACTACTATTTGTAAATCTCTTTTGTCTTTCATCCTTTAAATAATTACCTTTTTCTTTGTACTAATATAAAATATGTATTTACATAATAATTTATTATCTATTATGTATATATCTATATATTACGCCATACTTCCAAGGGCTCTCTCTATATATATACCTGTTCCCATCACATTGTAATGAAATATTATTCGAAATAGTTCTGATTATATGTAGTTTACGTAATTGAATAACACGTATACTATACATCATATGAAATAATAATGTTCTTTCTCTATATTCACATGGTTAACAAGGAAAAAAATAGCAAAGCAAACATAGAAAACAGCATAAGATAAATCATGAAGTTGTGTATCAAACAGAGAAGGGGGCTTTCAATTACTGAAATCATACCTTCTTATATATATTACAGACTTATACTTTGATACTTTTGTTTTGTCTCTATGTACTACGTTATACACCTATGAAACGTGCTTCTTTCTTTCTTTTTTCTGTAGGAATAGATTGTATTTTTTTTAAGGTTATGCATATCCTATAACGTATTCCATGTACATTATATGTGTGAAAATTATATTTGAAATAATCTCAGCGATTGAAATTTAAAATAACAATTACAACGTTTCGTCCAGTTAACTTCTCTGGACTTCTTCAGGGTAGAATAATCAAAATCGAAATCATCATAGAAATATATTATAGCTTTTTCAACAGTTGAGATCATGAGACAATTGAGACTAGACCATCATAGAAAGCCTGGGAGCACTGGATGGCTGTTTTGTCCTTTGATGGGACTCCTCAGCTTCAATTGACTTATGATCTCAACTGTTGAAATTACTACAATTTCCACAAAACCCATTCTGATAATAATCAACTGCTCACTAATGACTGACTTCAAGAGATACTCATGGAGTTCTAGTGAGAAGCCGTTACCAGTGGAGTTCAACCAGGTCTGTTGTGAGATAACAACTCACTGAAGAAAATGGTGTACGGTGGCGCAATTTCGCGGATTGGTTGAAGTTAGATATTAAAACCGTTGGATGCCGGCTCAGTGGTCTAGTTGGTTAAGTGCTTGGCGCGAGACTGATAGGTCCTGGGTTCGAATGTCTCGGGAGGCGGGATCGTTGGTACGTACTGTTGAAGAGTGCCATACTAGGGCAAAACGGCCGTTCAGTGCTTCCACATTTTCCATTGTAGTCTAGCTTCAATTGCCTCATGATCTCAACTGTTGAAATTACTACAATCTTCACAAAACCCCTTCTGATATAGCTTTTTAACAATCAAAACTGTACTGTGTTACACCAATCAAAATTTGGATGCTGATTTTTTTGTAAAATAGGGATAAAAAGAGGCGGTTAACTACAAATCATGTGAAAAAATTCAACTACATGGAAAACAATTAACTGAATAAACAAATTGTATATGTGTGAGTGTGTAGGTATGTAGGTATGTGTGAGATGAATTATTGATATTCTGTGTTGATATGGGATATATGAAGGAATAAATAAATAAAAGTACAAGTTCAAGGTTGATAAAACTGTTAATGAATCGTCGTTGTACATGTCAAACAAATACCTAAATTGTATTGCTAAAAAACTCATTGAAATCAGTCAAAAATAACGATTACCATAAGGGGTTTGTAGAGATTTTAGAAATTTCACAGATTGCAATCATGAGTCAATTGAAGCTAGACCACCATGGAAAACCTGGAAGCACTGGATTGTCGTTTCGTCTTATTGTGGAACTCCTCGGCAGTGCGCACCCACGATCCCGCAAACCGCGATATTCGAACCAAGGACCTTTCAGTCTCGTGCCAAGAGCTTAACCAACTAGACCACTGAGCTGGCAGGCATCCAATGGTGTTAATGTCTAACTGTTGAGAAGTCCCAAACTAGGACGAAACGGCCGTCCAGGTTTTCCATGGTGGTCTAGCTTCAATTGACTCATGATTTCAATCTGTGAAAAATAACGATGCATGAGAAATAAATAGGTTGAATACAGATAAGGGTTCAAACGAAATCTGCCAGGTAGTCGCCAGTTGAATACCATCTTTTCGGTTTAGGCTGTTCTTGTTCGCCCATATATATACAGAGCTTCTGCTGTCAATCTTTCTTTATGTGTGTTAAAACCTTTCTGAAGTATTTTGGTCCTTTCAAAATTAATCTTGTTTCCTGTTTCTTATGCATGTAACGCTATTGCAGACTTATTCTCAAATTTCTTCAAATCAACCGAGGATTTGGGACACATTTTTCAAACATTGTTTGCGTTCCTTCAATCTTACATTCAATTGTCTAGATGTTTCTCCAACAAAAGCTGCATTACAATCATGACAGTTGATCTCATACACAATATTCTATTGTTCTTCCCTTGGTAATCTGTCCTTAACTTTCACTAATGTCGATCTTAAGGTGTTACTCGCCCCAAAAATACACTCTTATATCATCTTTGTTTAGAATCTGCTTGATTTCTTCTGAAGGTTTCACTACGTTATGGTGTGACTACGGTGTACTTCCAAACTTATCGTATACATTCTTTCTATCAAACTATTCGTTATAATCTTGAAAAATATTCGTATAAATATTTCATGTACGTTTAATATAAGTAGATATTTAGATAAAGAATTACTTACACCTGAAACATACATACTTAATTGGTTTGGATCACATAAAACATAGAATAGGTGACTTTTTTTAAAACTATTTCTACATACTACTAATAAGCAATGGAAAAATAACATATTACAATAATGTGTCTTAATCAATATATATATATATATAGTAGGTATGTAGTTACACTCCACCTGTAGTCCCCCCTCTATGGGGCTATTGCCGCCCTCAAGCCCGGATAAAGGAACAAGGTTGGGTGTGGGATTAACGACCCCATCCTGTAGAAAACTAACTAGGTAAAAAAATAACGTTAATCAGAAAAAATGATTCAAACCATATAAACTCTGTTCTGAAAGTTAGAAGGTCTTCATTTAGAAGAGCTATGATATGTAGTTACACTAAATATCTATTCTATCATTAGTTGATCTTTTTTTCTGTAGAATCGATTTAATCTATTATTAAAGTCAGTGTTATTTTGTGTGTTGTCTAACCGTAATACTGAAATATAAGCTTCTTATAAAACTTGAGTGAAAATATCAACAGTCTTCAAATGCTCTGGTACGGCCGAGAGTGAAGAGAGTCAGCTCTCTTTCTCGAAATGCTCTCAAGTGGCCACGTGCATACAACCACTGTTAAGAAAGTCCAACTCTCTTCCTTCTCTTGGCTGGGGTATTGTTACCGAAATTGGGAGGATAAGAAGCGAATGTCCAGCTCTTTAAATGGGTTAGTGGATATGGATGATCTACTTAAGGATGTTGGAAAACCCTGATTCCAAACCAATAGTGCACATGGGCTCCAGTATCCTGAGGGAACAAATGGCGTATGAACCTGTTGTTGGTAACCGGCTACAATGAAACTGCATCTTCTGATGTTGCTCCACTTTCCTAAAGATTAGACCTTTAGGTCAAAGGCTCGGGGTGTGACCACTTAAGAAAACCATCTGCTTCGGTTTGGGCACCCGGACAGTATCCCGGCTTTCACACTAAGCGAATGATTCATGTGGCGCATATCTTTTTGGTGTTTCTTTGTACCAACGTATATGTGTTCAATTAAATAAAAAATAAGAACATCGACAGTCACAAAGAAGCATTATGGACTAAAACCGAATAAAAAATATATGTAAACTCATTCATAAATATACACCTTCCTCCCTCCTTTCCCTGAAACATGTACCCAAATCTCCATCCAGTGATGTGTTCTGTTTTAGAAAAGGAAACCAGGTGCTTTTCAATAATGTGGGATTATCTTTTAACCTTCGTTTATTTGGCTCAATGTGTCAGTAAGACACCCTGAGAGTATACTATGAACAAAAACAGACTTTTGAGCCAACGTCGATTATAACGACTAAAATAATTACACAATAACTGTCTATGGTAATATTGGTGAATTAGTAGTATCTTAACATACGCAAAGAGATTCATATAAGTTTGGTCTTTCTTACATATCAATTCCTATTCCAGTGGAACAACTCGATGAAATCAGAAAAAAGTACGAACTTATAGAAGCAGAACATAGTTAAATAATGAATTTATAGATAACATGCACTCGCTGAACTTTCTGAATTAAGTGGAAAGTGAAAGAGTGAATATGTTGGAACAACTATGATTGTGTATATTTTCTTATACTGACTCGATCCCGTGTTACCTTCACAGTCAGAAACATTACCACTGAGCTATCCGGTGCGCGAATGAACTCATATGGGACTGAGATGCAGGAAACCTAGATCCAGGGTTTCCTGTTGACTACCTTTAACCACCATCTTATCTCAACATAGTGCACGCAATGTCGAGTCACCTAGACTGGTGGTCACACTGCAGCTCGGTCGATAGAATTCGATCTGCACTAAGAAGGAACTGACATAAATGACATTGATGACCACCCAGTGATCAATCAATTGTAAGTTTGAACACGAAACTTTTAGGTTTTAATCCTTATTTAGATGTTTCAATTTCACTAGCAACGTTATATTACCAGTCCTTACACATAAAAATTTTTTAACTAAAATTCAAGTACACCGACTTTTACTGTATCACAGAATTACACATATTACTGTCACATCTTTCAACGTGTGCTGATTCATATACTGTTTTGTTTATGGATCCAGTATATCATACAGTGTAAGCTGTTCAGAAGGATTCTTGTAATGTCTAATATATACGAATCTTTTTATTGTTATAAACCCTGATCAAAGCTATGGGTCGCTTGTTACTTTTAAACTGTACATCTAAATTGCAATAATTTTTTATCCTGTAGATTTCTATCAGAAAGGAGTTTTGTGGATATTATAGTAATTAATGAGCGACTAGTGGAGTTCAACCAGGTCTGTTGTGAGATAGTATCTCACTGAAGACAGTAGTGGATGTGTCGCTCAATTTCTTGGATTAGTTGAAGTAAGAAATTAGCACCGTTAAATGCCTAAATGTTAAGCGTTCGCGCGTGAGACCGATAGATCCTGAGTTCGAATCCCACTGGGCGGGATCGTTGGTGCGTACTACTGAGGAGTTCCATACTAGGACGAAACGGCGGTTCAGTGCTTCTACGTTTTTCATGATGGTCTAGTTTCAATTGACTCATGAAATCAACTTTTAAACTTTAGATTTCTATCAAGTAAATTATTCTTTATGCTAACAGTTTAATATATTCACATACTTTCATATAAAACTTACAATAGACTATGAAGTTAGATACTGCGGAATCCATCATCATCACCTATTCTTTGAAGAAACTACAGTTGATTTGTGCTCGAATTCATGCAATAAATGTTTTTGAATGTTCAATTGAATGAATAATTGTCTTTTTAAAAAAGAAGGCATCTTTTATAATTTTGTGTATATTGTGTTGATAATACATTTCTTTAATCAAATGTATGATATAGAATACTTTGATGACATTCAAGCAGTTTCAACCTGTTTTTTTTTCAGAAGAATATTCATATTTATCAGTGATAGGATCGTGAAGATTGTTGAGTTCTAATTGATATCGTGAATAGATGAATCTTAGACCATTATTGAAAACCTAGAAGTACTAGATAGTTGTTTCATTCTAGTCTGGGACTTCTCAACAGTGCGCATCTACGATCCAGTACGCGAAATACTGGCTCAGTGGTCTAGAGGTTAAGCATTCACCTGTGAAGCTGAATGTCCCTGGTTCGAGTCTCACATGCAAGATCATGGATGTGCATTATTGAAGAGTCTCATGCTGGAACGAAACAGCTTTCCAGTTCCTCCAAGTTTTCAATTCTGATCTAACATTCATCCATTCATGATATCAATTGATATGTGTATTTGTGAATGGAACTAATTTTAATCATTAAACAAATTGAATAATTCAATCATTCATTTTGTCATTTGTGCATTTTTTTCTTTATTTCACAGAGATTGGAAGAAAAATGTTCATATTGTATTAAGTGACCTATTTTCACTTATATTAGAGAATATGATAAATTATCAAAAGTAAGTATGAGTTAAAAAGAAAACCAAACAAAGAACTATCAGAAGGTAGTTTTGTGAAGATCTTAGTAATTTTATAGTTCAATTCATAAATCAATTGAAGTTAGATCACTATAGAAAGTCTGGGAACACACGAAACTGTTAGGTCCTGGGTTCGAATCCCATGAGGTGGGATTATGGTTGCGCACTACTGAGGAATCTCATACTAAGACGAAATGATTGTCCAGTGATTCTAGATATTCCATGATGATCTAGATTCAATGGACTTGTGAATCGCTATTGTTAAGTATTCTTGGACACCAATTCACTTGACAAGTCCCTAAATCAGAACACGGTTGAATAGGAAAGAAGTTATATTCTAAATAACAAAAGTAGACGGACGCAAGAATCACAATAAGAGAAACATTAGTTTTTACACGAGAAAATTCTAGAGTCTTTTCCAAGTATCGACTAGCTCTGATTGAATAAGAAATAGCCAATCAGTGTGTACTAACGCGATCGTGCATGGAACATGCTTTAATCCAATCTCTATCCCGCTAACAAATTGGATACTATCCTTATTCCGGTCTTAAGTTATCAGTATCATACTGTTTACCTAATGTAAATTCAAATCGAAGAACAATGAGCTAAAAAATTACCATCCATTTAGACCTAGAAGCATTAAAAATAAACGTTATTTCATTTCAAAATCCATGTTGCTGGTAATAATCGTTTAAATTCACCGAAGTTCAGTATTTATAAGGCCAGACTATGAACGTTTCATCATTACTTACTTACGCTTATTACCTCTCGTGGGTAAGCATAAGCCAGTCACCAGAATTTTCTATTCAACCCTGTCCTGGACAATCCTTTCCAGTGACTATTCATCCTTTTCATGTCTGCTACCGATTCTCGAAGCCATGTGTTCTTCGACCTTCCTCTTTTCCGTTTTCCTTCAAGATTCCAAGTTAGCGCTTGCTTTGTGATGCAGTTTGATGATTTCTTCAATGTATATCCTATCCATTTCCAACTTGTTTTCCTAATTTCCTATTCTGTCAGAAGTTGGTTTGTTCTCCCATAGTAGGCTGTACGTTTCATTGAATTATTTCTGATCTTATATAGTATAAAGAGATTGGCATGAATCATTGAACCCTTAGATAACTTGTTAGTTGAAACTTAAACAACCCTGATCAAATAGATACATTCAATAGTATTCGAACTCACGTCACTATGAGGACGGTTCACGGGTGAACTAGAGGAAGCCTTAAGAAGCTCAGAAAAAGCCAGAGATATTCTATCCAATCATCTTTTGGAAGAATATTCTAGAATCTCTATGTGTAGCTTCCCGACTGGACAATGCTAATAACCCCCTGTATGCGGATTGGATAGCTATAATGATGATTTCGTTTTTACTAAAAACTATAAATACATGACAGTTTGTACTCTAATTTGACACTGTCTGGAATAATATTCCTTTCACTAGTCTTCTGTTTTCTCATTGTAACTAAGAAGGGTTCTAGCGTTCAAATGCTCAAGTTTTACGTGTCATATCAAAAATATAGGCATCTAGATATATAACAGTCACCTTAGTGTCATAGTTAAAAATTTTATTACTGTTCTATTCAGACTGAATAAGTGCTTTACCTTGATGTTATTCGAAGTATATACTGAAATTCAGAACCTGAAGTACAATTCTATTATCAAAATCCCCTTTATTTATGTTACATTGTTTATTTATTTAAACAAAATAACATTCGTACAAATGGGCACCGAATAAATATGCGCTTCACAAGTCACTTGATTTGTATGTGGGCTGTGATACTGCCCGGGTGCCCAAACCGAAGCAGGTGGTTTTCTTAAGAGGCCACGCCCCGAGCCTTCGATTCAAAGGTTTGATCCATAAGGCAGTGGAGCAACGTAAGGAGATGTAATCACATGATAGCCGTTGACCAACGATTGATTCATACGCTATTTTTTCCTCAGGATACTGGAGCCCATGTGCACTATTGTTTTGGAATGAGGGTTTTCCAACTCCCTTAGGTGGATTCTCCGTATGCATTAAACCGGTTAAAGCGCTGGACATTCGTTTTTCGTTCTTCCAATTCCCTAAGCAATACCCCCACAACGAGAAGGAAGTGAGTAGAACTATCCTGACAGTGGTTGTATGCACATGGCCACTTGAGAGTATTTTTGTGAGCGCTAACTATCTCCACCGTCGACCATAGCAGGGCATTTTGGGGGGCTTTTTTTCCAACCTGATCAAAGATTTATGTTTATTTGGATAAATTAAAAATAATACGAATTCGACTTAATTTTGTAGATTTTCTTCAAATGCTTTGTCCCATAATCTAGATTAAAATATATTATATATTTTTCTCCTTCTCTCCTGCTGGTTTTCAATATTACTATCGGTTAATAGTGTTAATGCTTGATAAAGATCACATGGAACAAATTAAGACCTTTACAAGGTGTTATGTTTTATGAACAACATGACTTAGTCGTTCGACATTACAGCTGTGTAATGTATCCTTTGAAAATAGTGGACATTAGTAGGTTACTAATTGTTGTGATTAAATTCCAGTGTTCCCTCATACACATACATTTTCACTCTGTTTTATCGAACTATATCACGAATGTGCACTTGTTCCCATTATCATAGCTACTACATTATTTCGATATCCTTTGAAATCAATCTTAATTTCATCCGGTCATACTAATGTGATATGGAGAGTTGAGTTAGCTCTCATCTATGTTGACAGTGATTATTTGATTATAGATGATTTAGAGGGAATAGTTGCTTTTTTGAGACCATCAACTGATTAAGGTATAGTTTTTGTATAGAGTAGTAGACAAAGCTGTAGGGTCAGTTGTTAACGTGATGAATTTTCGTCAAATGAGATGGTTGGAACATGTATTAAGTACCACCACATACCGCTAAGCATGATATTTAATTGTGTAAGAGAACCACCAAACCAAACGTGGCATCAGTTCATGAAATCATTGACTGTTAGATTAAACAATTTTGTTCTATAAAGACTCAGTTAGTCAGCTTCAACACAGCACCAGGCACATATATGTGTCGGTTCAAGTTGCCATACCTCACTCATTAGCACAACAGGATGAACACAAAATTCATAGAAGTAGTTAGTTCAATGGTGGTAATATATAAAAGAAAGATTGCCTATATTCCGTGCTGAGATTTTGTCAGACACCAACTCATTAGGGCTGATCAGACTTCCAAGATAAGTGAAGTTGTCAACGCGTTCGACTACATCACTCCCTATCCTTAGTTCAGGTATTGACGCAGACCAGTCCTGAAGCAACAACATTCTGACATTGTTGCTCAGTGCTATCAAAGGACTCTGCATTTTGTCAGCGTGTTCACTAAACAGGACTATATCATCTTCGCATTCTAAGTCGATAAGTGGACCTTTTGGAAGGAGATCAATACCCGAAAATTCAGTCGACGAGAATGTTATTTCCATCAGTAGGTCTATGATGAAGTTAAACAAAAATGGAATAAGTGGACAGTCTTAACGGATAAAGACTACCTGGTTGATGTCCTTGTAGTTGATAAATTAGTGTTTGAATATTTTTGGTGGTATCGTTCTTTGTTTCTTGAGTTTTAAACTTATACTGCATATATATGGAATGCTGGTTCGACTTCGCAGATGACGTTGCCCTCCTATCACATACACACAAACAAATGCAGATCATGACAGCTAGTTTAGCATCAGTCTCTGCATCAGCAGGCCTCAACATACACAAGGGGAAAACCAAAGTCCTCAAATACAACACGGAGAACAGCAATCCAATCACACTTGATGGTGAAACTCTGGAAGATGTGGAATCCTTCAAGTACCTGGGAAGTATCATCGATGAACAAGGAGGATCAGATGCAGATGTAAAGGTTAGGATTGGCAAAGCAACGGCCGCATTCGTACAGTTGAAGAACATAGAACTCAAAATAACTTTCAACCGATATCAAAGTGAGAATCTTCAATACGAACGTCAAGGCAGTTCTACTGTACGGATCTGAAACTTGAAGAACTACTACAACCATCATCAAAAATGTACAAGTATTTATAAATAGTTGTCTACGCAAGATACTCAACATCTATCGGTCGGATACCATTAGCAACAGCCTTCTGTGGGAGAGAACAAACCAACTTCCAACTGAAGAAAAAATTAGGAAAAGACGATTGAAGTAAATAGGACATACATTACGCAAATCATCAAACTGTATCACGAGACAAGCCCTAACTTGGAATCGTGAAGGTAAGCGGGAAAGAGAAAGGCCAAAGAACACATTACGTCGAGAAATAGAAGTAGATAAAAAAAGATAAATAACAACTGCAAAAGATTGCTCAAGACAGAGTTAGATGGAGAATACTGGTGAGTGGTCTATGCTTCTTCACGAGGAGTAACAAGTGTAATTAAGTAAAGTTGGCGGCTTATACTCCTCCACGAAAAGGTAACTTGATGATTGGAAACATCTTTACAGAGTCTCAACATAGAATGAATTCTTTATTCAATACTCGTTATATTTCCATAATTAATTTGCTCCCCAACGAAAATTATATCCCCATCATAGAATACTCTTTATGAATCACTAATGAAATATGATCTTGATCCATTCAATATTGTACAATTCAATTCACTAGATCTTTTTGTTTATTCAAATTAAGCCATTAATATTCGTTTTTTTTTTCTTATTCTTTTCAATATTACATTCTATAGAGTACCACAATTTCATTTATATTCATGTCATGATTCATCAATTATGTTATTATTATTTGGTTTAAATGTATTCGATGGTTGTTGGCCACCATTTGCTGCTGATATTATATTTGAATTATATACAACAGTATCAACATCATCACCGTCACCATTATCACCGTCGGCGCCATCATCATCATCATCATCATCATCAACCAATTTATCCATTATAAAATCTAATACATTACATTCAGATAATATTTCATTAACAAATAATAATCTAAATGATTTATGGTTTCGTTTAATTTATCTTGGTAAACCATTATCATTAAAAACATTATGGGATTTATCATATTCTAATCATGAACATGATCTCGATCATCATCAATTATCTGATTATACAATGATACCATTCAAAGTATTATATGAATATATTAATAAAGCTAAAAACTTATAATGAATCTTAATTAGAATACAATAATAAGTATGTATAACTATTTGTTTATTGTTTTGTTTTTGTTCGTTTGTTTGTCTGTTTGTTTGTTTACTTGTTTTCTTTCTGTTGATTTTTTTGTATTGATTTATTGATGAAGAAGAAGAAGAAGAGAAAAGGACGAAACTATGTAGAAATTAATAATGGAATGATTTTTTTCTCTCTTTTTTCGTTGTTTCTAGTTTTTGTTTTATTATCCATATGAGATTTATTTCCCTAGCAACAATATGATGATGATGATTATCATTTGTATGGATTTATATATTCGTTTGCTCTTAATTGATTTCCTTGTTTGAATGTATCATTTTTATGTCCTTGAATATTTACCATCATATTTGAGTGTATTATTCCTGTTTCGATTACACACACACACACTCTCCCTCTCCCTCTATTTGTCCCTAACTAACTAACTAACTAACTAACTCCCTCCTTCCCTCCCGTTCATGATTATACTTGTTCGATTCCTATCCTAAATGAATAACACATGAATCCACTATTAATGAATTAATTGTTTGTTTTTTCTTTTAAAATTTAGAAAATGTATTTAAGTAGTATAATAAGATTGATTTTTGTTTCTTTTTTATCACCCTTATTTTTTTCTTTCTTTCTTTCCTTCATTGATATTCATTCATTCTATGATATGAAATCAAGTGTTATATATTGTCTAGAATGATTTAATGAAGTCATTAAATTCATATGTCAGGTTATTGTAATCACTTTACTACTCAATTCTAATACTAACAAGATGATTTCATTGGATTATTTAAAAGAAGTATGAAAGTTTCTATAGATGAATCTATAGAAGGATCATTATTCATGATCTATGAATCGTAACTTCATACTGAATTAGAGATATATGTTAGCTTCATGATATTTACCTTATGTTTCAATAGTTATTCATTTGAATGATTAGATTTTGTATTTTCTAGAGAGAGAAACAAGGGGGAAAGATTTATTTATATAAATTACAAGTATTATATTTCTTTATAAATATTTGTTTTTTTTTCACTGATTAAAATCATGAGTCAATTGAAGCTAGATCACCATGGAAAACATGGAAGCACTGGACGGCTGTTTCATCCTAGTATGGGACTCCTCAGCAGTGCGCATCCACGATCCCGCCCTCCGTGAAATTCGAACCCAGGACCTATCAGTCTCGCGCCAAGTGCTTAATCAACTAGACACCTGAGCCAGCATCCAATGGTGTTAATGTGTGAATTCAGCCAATCCATGAAGTTACACCATTGTCTTCAGTAAGTTCATATTTCACAACAGACCTGGCTGAACTCCACTGGTAACGGCTTCTCACTAGAACTCCAGGAAATGCCTCTTGAAGTGAGTCACTAGTGAGTAGATGATTATTATCAGAAGGGGTTTGTGGAGATTTCAGAAATTCCATCGATTGAAATTATGAGTCAGTTGAAGCTAGACCACCATGTTTGTTTTCATTATTATAAAAAAGTTATTAGAAAATTGTATACGTTTATAATTGAAATTATAAATGAGATGTGTTAATCAGGTGTGAATTACATTTTGCAAGATCTATTTAGCAAAGTTGTTGTTCTATGAGATGGGATTGTTGACGTCATACCCTACCCTCTTGCTTTATCTCTGCTTGAGAAAAGCAGTGGATAGGCTACATATTGAGAAAATCATCGAAGCGCATCATAAAGCATGTGCTAAATATAAGTTTTGAAGTGAAAGGAAAAAGAAGAAGGTCAAAGAACACATTGCGTCGGAAATTGGAAGCAGTTATGAAAAGGATGATAAGTAACTGGAAAGGATTGTCAAGAAAAGATATCGATGGAAAATGTTGGTGGGACGCCTATGCTCCTCCATATGAAGTAACAGGCATAAGTATGTAAGACTGAATTATTGACACAACTCCTCTTGAATAGAATCATATGGAGATTTAAGACAATTTTCAGCAAAATACTTTTGTTTGTCTGCTAAGTACAAAAAAACATGATTAGATACCAATAATAAATATATTCTTGTTATATTTATTTACTTTGAAAAAGTGGCTTACAGTAAGTCAGATATATATAATTCTCCTACTCATTGGGATGTTATTTATTTACTTACTTACGCCTGTTACTCTCGATGGAGCATAGGCCGCCGACCAGCATTCTCCAACCCACTCTGTCCTGGGCCTTCTTTTCTAATTCCATCCAATTCTTGTTCATTTTTCTCATGTCTATTTCCATTTCCTGGCGTAATGTGTTCTTTGGTCTTCCTCTTTTCCTTCAGCCTTAAAGATTCCATATGAGGGCTTGCCTTGTTATACAATTTGGTGCTTTTCTCAATATGTGTCGTGTTCACTTCCAACGATTCTTTTTGATTCCTTCCTCCGCCTGAGTCTGGTCTGTTCTCTCCCACAGTAGATTGTTTCTGATAGTGTTTGGCCAGTGGATCCGAAGTATTTTGTGTAGACAACTGTTATTGAACACTTGTATGTTCTGGATGATGGCTTTCGTAGTTCTCCAGGTTTCTCCCCCATACAGTAGAACTATCTTAACATTTGTATTGAAAATTCTGACTTAGGTGTTGGTTGACAGTTTTTTTAGTTCCAGATGTTCCTCAGTTGTAAATATGCAGCTCTTGCTTTGCCGATCCGTGCCTTCACATCTGCATCAGATCCGCCGTGTTCATCAATAATACTGCCCAGATATGTGGAGGTTTTTATATCTTCCTAATCTTCTCCGTCAAGTGTGATTGGATTGGTGCATGCTGTGTTGTATCGGAGAATCTTGCTTTTCTGTTTGTGTATGTTGAGACCTTCTGCTGTTGAGGCTGCTGCTACACTGGTTGTCTTCTTCTGCATTTGTCGTTGCGTGTGTGATAGAAGAGTCAGATCATCTGCGAAGTCTAGATTGTCCACCTCCATCCTAGATATCCACTGTATCCCGTGCTTCCCCCTAGATGCTGACATCTTCATGATCCAGTCGATCACTAGGAGAGACAGAAAGAGTGAGAGTAAGCAGCCTTGCCTGACACTGGTCTTTACACCGAACGAGTCTGTCAGCTGTCCTCCATTCACGATTAAGCAGTTTAATCCGTATGATATTGACTATTTTCTGAGGCACGACGTAGTGTCGAAGAAGCTTCCATAGTGTTGTTCTCTCCACTCTATAAAATGCTTTCTCGTAGTCAATGAAGTTGATGCAGAGTGATGAATTCCATTCAATTGATTGTTACAAAATGATCTGTAATGCTGCGATTTCGTCTAGGATATAACAAAAATATATTTGGTATTAACTCCTTAGTTCAACCTAGGTATTTATATTTATAAATGAAAGCTATTCGTTATCAAGGGGAAATCAAGAAATGTTTGAATAGTCAACAATTACTGAACTATTGCATCTAACTTTCCTGTCATTTTTTAAGCGTTTTCTAGACTTTTCTAAAAACAACAATTATATAAATAGTCAAATGAAAATAAACGAACTATTCTGTATATAATTACACCTACATTGATATCGTTCAAATTGAACTCACGTGATTGGTATGCTCATTTGAAGCTTCTTCCAATGTGAAGTTTTATTCATGCGTTACTGATGTACTACGGTTACAGATTAATAAAATAACATCTATGAAAATGGTGTCATTGAATAGTGAAATGACCTCACAATAAACAATGAAACATCGATTTACAAACACTGTTTGTACCTTAATATGCGAGTGTAGTCACTGTGATAACTTCAAGTTATTGAATAAATTACTTGCTTACTTACGCCTGCTACCCCTCGTAGAGGTGCATAGGCCAGCCACTAGTACTCAACATCCAACACTGTCCTGGGCATTCCTTTCCAGTTGCCATTCATCCTTTTCATGTCTGCTTCCAATTTTTGACTCAGTGTGTTCTTCGACCATCCTCTTTTCCGTTTCCCTTCAGGATTCCAAGTAAGCGCTTGCTTTGTGATGCAGTTTTATGATTTCTTCAATGTATGTCCCATCCACTCCCAACATCTTTTCGTAATTTCCTCTTCAGTTGCAAGTTGGTTTGTGCTAACTCACAGTAGGCTGTTGCTGATGGTATCCGACCAACGGACATTCAGTATCTTATGCAGACCATTGTCTATCAATACTTGTACATTCTTGATGTTAATTCTAGTAGTTCTCCAAGTTTCAGCTCCATACAGCAGAACCGCGTTGACGTTCGTATTGAAGATTGTGACTTTGATATGTGTTGATAATTGTTTTGAGTTCCATATGTTCTGTAGTTGTAGTAATGTGGTTATTACTTTGCCGATCCTTACCTTTACGTCTACATGGAGAAATTACCTGTTTATTAAATACTTAGCTTACTGTGTATTTAGATTATTTTAACTGCAAAATTTAATGTAACTTGTAGCGTTGCGTCGAGTAGCGGTTGACTATGATCACTACAGGGAGGCTACGTGCCAATTACCAGGTTAGACCGAATTTCAGAGGGCAATTAAAGATTGTAGTAAAATGTATTTTTTGGCGATCTTGTAGTATCGAAATAATACCGAGATCGTGCCAAAGTTTACAAGCGGGACTGCTGAATGTACACGGGTCCGTGCAGGGTCAACAGAAGAATGTGTGTTTTCGGTACACTTAAACAAACAGGTAAAGTAAAACAATCACTGGTACAATTGGTTAGAATTATAATTGTTTCCATTATACCAATCGCGTTCTCTTCATAAACGTGGGTCACTACAAGTGTAATGGTGACAATGTTTCATGGTTGTATGACTAAACACTGCAACATCATATGATGTATTCACTTTGTACAAAGGCTAATCGCGAAACATGTTTAACCTAAATGTGAGTCAAGGGATCATGTTTGCACTGAGTTTCATACCCGTCGTCGGACAGTTTTTCTGAGATTAGGCAGAATGACAACTCTAGCCGCGTATATTAAAATAAAATGACCATGCTGCACTCCTTTTGATGGATGACTTCTCCATTGACTTAGCCATATAGGTTCTTAGCGATCTCGACTAATCTTGGCTCATCCAAAGTGGTAGTTTAACCGTATAACTAATAAGATGGTGATTTTTGTCAGTATCCTCTGCCAAATCAATTAAGATGTGGATCTCGAAGAACATTATGTCTGTTCACCTGCAAATACAACGGATATTTATGATCGATTTTACTACGGTATTTCAAAAAAAGCGGTGAGATATAAAATGTTCTTAGTTAATAGCTCTTCACATGCTCTCTCGAGTCAACTTAGATAACAATGTGGAGCGCCATCAGATAAAGTGAGGAACAACAAAACTGATCTACAGAAATTGTGAACGGGATGGAAAGATTGATATGTAGAGTGAAAAAATTGCTTTGTCTCATCAAAAGAACAAGTATTAAAAAGCTGGCTGTCTACGACACTAATTTTCCAATGGGACCTGACTACTCTCAGTTTTTGAGGATAGATTGATAGGAAAATTAACATTAAGAGGTGAGTCGGAATGCCTCCAACTAACCTCCAATGCTAAGTCGTTTCCAAAAGTACCTGATTGAGAAAACGAATTTTTTCAGCGATTCTCATAAGGGGTTGAAGCCTAAATCAATGTAGAATTGAAGATTATGCTAACCTCAAGATGGCTTCAAACATTTTCAAGCGGTAGTCATCAGTACTCACCATTACCCAAGCACATTAAGTGAGATACAAGCTGAGGTTTGAGTACTGAAAATATTTTCATACGACGTCCAGCAGTCACACATGGATCAGTTTGAATAATATAATGTCTAAAATGTTAGCCTAACTGGTCATCCAGCGCCTAAGTAGAGCCTGCATTTTGTATGCTCAGGAAGACCAGACAGGCTCTTGAGCATGGGGATATCAACTGTTGTTCAGCCATATGTGTTGTTTCCGGCAATAGGGAAAAAGGTAGGCTCCTACAAATCTGCCTGTCGTTTTGTTTCAACAACCTTGAACGGCCTGACTAGAGGCGGTTACTCCGTATTTCAATTGCCGTGGGTATGTTAGGTCGTATGAGTATTAATTTTTTCCAGATTTAAGT